AGATTGAATCAGCAACAAAAACTCATTAGTGAAAACCACAGGACCAAATGGCATCACTGCTGAATTCTACCAAATATTTGAAGAATTAACAAAAACCCTACTTAAAGTATTTCAGAAAATAGAAGAAAAGGTAATTCTTCTGAATTCATTTTATGAGGCCAGCATTATCCTGATATCCAGTCAGACAAGAACATAATAAAGAAAGAAAGCTGCAGGCCACACATTGAAAAAGTTCTCAATAAAACACTAGGAAATTGAATCTAGCAACACATTAAATAGATTCTTCACTATGATAAAGTAGGACTCATCCCAGGGATGCAAGGACGATCAAACATACATAGATCAATAAATGCGATACACTGCATCAACAGTGTATGATCAACAGAATGAAGGACAGAAATCATGACCATCTCAACAGATGCAGAGAAGACACTGGATAAAAGTAAACATTGCTTCATAAAAACTGACAAAATTGGGGCTGGCACTGTGGCATAACAGGTAAAGCTGCCACCTGTGATGCTGGCATCTCATATGTCACTGGTGTGAGTCTTGGTTGCTCTACTTTCATTTCATTTTCTACTTTCCAGCTTCCTGCTAAAGTGCCTGGGACAGCAGCAGAGGATCACTCAAGTGCCTGGGCCCTTGAACCCATGAGGAAGACCGAGTGAAGCTCCTGGCTCCTGGCTTTGGATCATCCTAGCTTGGGTCGTTTCGGCCATTTGCGGAGTGAACCAGAAGATGGAGGACCTTTCTCTTTCTTGCTCTCTACCTCTCAAATAAATAAATAAAATATTTTAAAAAGTGTATACTACCAGGCCGGTGCCGCAGCTCACTAGGCTAATCCTCTGCCTTGCGGCGCAGGCACACTGGGTTCTAGTCCCGGTCGGGGTGCCGGATTCTGTCCTGGTTCCGCCTCTTCCAGGCCAGCTCTCTGCTGTGGCCAGGGAATGCAGTGGAGGATGGCCCAAGACCTTGGGCCCTGCACCTGCATGGGAGACCAGGAGAAGCACCTGGCTCCTGGCTTTGGATCAGCGGGATGCTGGCATTGCAGGCGATGGCTTAACCTATTGTGCCACAATGTCAGCCCCTACAATTTCCGCAGCGGCCATTGGAGGGTGAACCAACGGCAAAGGAAGACCTTTCTCTCTGTCTCTCTCTCTCTGTCCACTCTGCCTGTCAAAAAAAAAAAAAAAAAAAGTGTATACTACTGAAAGTGATTTAGATTCAATGCAACTCAATGAAAATTCCAATAACATATTTTACAGATGAAGAAAAAAAATTACTAAAATTTGTATGGAACCACAAAAGACACTGAAAAGCCAAAATAATCTTGAACAAGCACAAAAAGCCAAGTGTAATAAAATCTGTCATATATGGAGTCTAACAAAAGGTGGCCTCACTGGATTTAAAAGTATAATGGTGGTTACCAGAGGCTTAGGGTGAAAATGAAGAGGGAGGATGGGAAAAGGTTGATTAATGGGTATTAATCCTACCTAGGTTATAGCTAGATAGGAGTAAGAAACTCTGGGGCTCTACTGCACAGTAGGTGACTATCGATAATGTTAACATACTATATATTTTGATATAAAATAAAATGGAAGATAGGACTTTAGTTGTTTCAACGCAAAGAAATGTCAAATGTTGGTAGAGATACTCTGATTATACTCTGGGCATTATACAATATTTATATGTACTGAAACATCACATAGTATTACACGAATATGTACAACTTTTCTATATCTGTTAAACTGGTTTTTTTTTTTTTTAAGAAAAGAAGGAGAGGTAATCTTCATCCTTTAGAAAATATTGAAAATTCATCAGAGAGAGTAGTTTTTTGAATGTAAGGGACATAGGAAAGCCTCTCATCCAGTCTGTATACCTCATTCAATATGTAAAAGTGCACACTGGGAAAGAAAATTTATGAATATAAGGATTGTAGGAAAGCCTTTAGATTGTCATTAGAGCTAATATAACACTTAACATATTCACATTGGAGAGAACTTGTAAGAAAAGAAAAGTGGGAAAGCCTCTGGCCAGTCCTCTTAATAGGCAGGAATCCACAAAGAAAAGAAGCATTATGATATAATGAATATGGGGAGATCCTAAATATTTCACATTAGCTAATGTCTACACTGAAGAAAAGTCTTATAGAACTTAAGAGTGTAGGAAACACTTCAGAGAGTCTATATTTCTTAAAGAACATTAAACAACACTCACAGTAGACAGAAGCCCTATATATACATATATATTTATGTATGTATGTATGTGTGTGTGTAAAGTATATGGAAAAGTTATGATTGGTTCTCAAAACTTAATATTTAACTACAAACTCACATTACAGAAAAATTGTCATGAATTTAAGGAACAGGTATCAGCCTTCAGTTGTGTTCATCTTTTAGGAAGGAAATGGGAACTCATATTCTAGAGAAAACCCTGATGTAAGGAAGTGGAATGGTCTTCAATTGCTTTTACTTTAGGAAACAAGTGAAAATCCACAATAGTTCTCACAGTAGTGAGAAATCATATCAATATAAATACTGAGGGGGAGGTTTTATTTATCCTTTTTATAGGTTAAACATTCCTAATCTGAAAATTCAAAATCCTAAATGCTCCAAAATCCAAAATATTCTGAGTACTAACACACACAATTTTGAATTTTAGAACATATACATTCTGGATATTTAAAAAAATTATTTATTTATTTGAAAGGCAGACTTATGGGTGAGGGTGGAGAAAGAGAGAGAGAGAGAGAATCTTATATCCACTCCCCAAATGGCCACAATGGCCAAGACTGGGTCAGGGAGAACCCTGGAGCCTGGAACTCCATCCAGCCCTCTCACATGGATGGCAGGGGCTCAGGTACTTGGGCCATCTTCTGATGCTTTCCCAGGCACATCATCAGGGAGCTTGATAGGAAGTAGAGCAGCTGGGACTCAAACTGGCACTCATATGGGATGCTGGCATTGCAGGTGGTGGCTTAACCTATTGTGCCACAATGTCAGCCCCTACAATTTCCGGATTTTAGAACGGGGGGGTTAGGTCAATCAATAAAGTCTATGCAAATATTCTCAACTCAAAAAGTTTAAAGTTGAAACACTCTCGTCCTAAGTATCTCAGATAAGGGATATTTAACCTGCATCTTAAAATGCATGACTGAGCTAAAGTGAAGTAAAATCTTATAAATGGACATTTGGAGATTTTATGACTGTTTACAACCCTTGTCTCTTCTTTTGAGGAACAGTGTTTTTTTTTCTTCATACTATTTTTTAAACCTTTACTTAGTGTAGGGTTAACTTTATGATGATTAAGTGAAAACAGAACTTTGTAAAAACTAAGAGTGGGAATAGAAGAGGGAGGAGGAAGAGTTGGAGCACGGGCAGGAGGGAGGGTAGGGTGGGAAGAATCACTATGTTCCCAAATCTGTGTTTATGAAATCTATGAAACTTGTGTAACTTAAAAAAATTAAAAAAAAACTTATAAATGTAGGAAACATCAAAAAGTAATCATTTTCTCCTCATCCCTGAGAAAAATGTGAACATACAACTGAAGAGAAATCCTATAAATGTGAAAAATGTGGGAAAGCCTTCAGCTTTCTCAAACATTCACATGTGAGAGAAACATTACACATAAAAGAAATGGGGAAAGTAGTCTGTGCCTGCATCCTTTCAGAAATGTGTGGAATGCACCAGAAAAACATTTTATGAATATAAGGAACATGTTTAAGACTTTGATTTCTCTTTTTGCTGTTCAAAGAAAAAATTGCACTACAGAGACCATCTGAATTAAAACAAACATGGGGAGGCTTTTATTCACTATTTTTCCCTAAAGTACATATGGGTGGGGTACAGCACTGTGGCTTAGTAGGTATGGGCACCAAGTCAAATCCCGCCTGCTCCACTTCCACTTCTCTGCTATGGCCTGAGTAAGCAGCAGAAGATGGCCCAAATCCTTGGGACCCTGCATCTGTGTGGGGGACCTGGAGGAAGCTCTTTGTTCCTGGCTTCGGATTAGTCCAGCTCTGGGTGTTGTGGACATCTGGAGAGTGAACCAGGGGATGGAAGATCTCTCGTTCTCTGCCTCTTTGTAATTCTGCCTTTTAAATAAATAAACATTTTTTAGAAAAAAGTACATATGGGTATACATGTTGAAGAGAAATCCTATGAATGTGGGTTATTGGGAGAGGCTTTAAACCATGATCATTGCCTTACCATGTAAAATAAAAATGTACTGGAACAAACTGGCTTTACCTACATACTTAAGAGTATCTCCATGATCAGATTACCTGAATAGATTATTGAAAAATATACATGTATATGTTTATGAAACAAATCTGCAGGATCTCCTTTTAAAAAAAACCTTATTAAATAAGTAGGCATTAGCACATATTTTAAAGAAATGAAATTATCTTCATTTATAAAATCTCTTACCCCATTAAAATATATAACTATTACATGTTAGTCAAATATTTAAAAATAAATTAAAAATATATCTTTTAAACTTATATACAGAGATTAAGATTTCCGGCAATTCAAGTAAGATTTACTATAATAAGTAACTCTGTAAGGAGAAGAGGTAGGAAAATATTTGGAAGGAATTTGTCATAGCATAAGTCTATCATTTTTAGATGATGTAATAAAAATATGACATATCATTATAGAATATTAAATAACAGAAAAATATTATGTACAATCAGTATAAAAGCAATAATTACAAATAAGTACTATAACAGCTGTATAGTTAGTACAAAAAAATCAACCTTATGAACACCATATTTAATGTCCAGAAATGATACATTTAAAGTAAAATCCGTTCTTCCCGAAGAAATCATATTAAATTAAATTTAAAATTAAATCCTTGCTTCCTGAAAAAATTAGCTTTCAGAAATCATAGGTCCTAAAATTTTTTAAAATGTAAGCTTTACCCAAAAATGATAGACAATCTGTCAAAGATTGTGCAAATTCTGAAGATGTGATCACAGAAAATCCAAAACAAAAACTTACTTCATCTCAAGTTGTTTTAGCCTATTTTCTGCTCTCTTAAGTCTTAGCTGAAGATCATCTTTTGAACGCTCAGCAGCCAGGCATCTTTGGTGCATTTCCTCCAGTTTTCTGTAATCACTTTCATTGACTCTGCCTTCACGGTAGATCTGCAGGAGAGGCTGATATGTGTATTACCTTACCGAAGGAAACTGTCTTAATATATTACACAGTCTAGGAATTAAATCAATGATAAAAAATAAAAAGCCAAGATCATGTGTTCATCTATTCTCACTATAATATTAAAACATGTCAATAATTAATCTTGTTTGTTTTATATTTACAAAATAAAATGCTGAAAACTGACATAAAATAATTATTTTTGAAATCATTTATGCTTATTATAAACTCTTCAAATAACCAGAAACATTAAGCTGCTGAAGTTAAACAAACAAATACTGCAAATGTCATCTTAGCAATAATCACTGGCAACTGTTTTGATGAACACTTAAAAACAATTCTCCATTCCATTAATCAAAAACAATGATACAGGCAGTGGTACAATGAGCAGAGCTACCTGAACGTTACTCCAGAATCTTCCTCAAAGTTACCTGGACAATGATCTATCTGGAGTGATGGTTCTCATTTCTCCAGTAGGAGTGCTGAATCTGCTTAGCTTCTTATGAGACTGGGCATCCTCTCATAGACCACGGGCTGTATGTAACATCCCGAGGAACCCAAGGGCTCCAGGTGCTAGATAGCTCACACTTTCAGACAACTCCTATACACAACTACCCTCCAAATCCAAATTCCTTGGCCAAGTGACCTGTGTCTTCTCCACTTACAAGACTTTGTCACTCCTGTGTTATAAACAGATACAACAGCAGCACATCAGTGTTCTGGTATAAGAAGACAGAACTACACTACAGTCCCAGCATTAATTTGACTTTAACATGGCAGCCTATAGGACAGTAGAAAGGGGAGCTACGTTTTCACTTTTATTGCTGTCTTTAGCCCTTTTCTAAAAAGTATTTTTATTTCATTTTATTTTATTTATTTGAAGGCAGAGTTACAGAGAGCACAGAAGAAGCAAAAAAAGAAGCAGAGATAGCTCTTCCATCTGTTGGTTTGCTGCCCAGATGGCCGCAATAGCTAGGACTGGGCCAGGCCGAAGCCAGAAACTAGAAGCTTCTTCTGGGTCTCCCACATGGGTACAGAGGCCCAAGGACTTGGACCAACTTCCGCTGCTTTCCCAGGTATACTGGAAAGGAGCTGGATCTGAAGTGGAGCAGCCAGGACTCAAACCAGCACCAATATGGGATACTGGTGCTACAGGCAGTGACTTAACCCATTATGCCACAGTTCTGACCCCTAGCCTTAGAAATCTTAATCCATGCCCTTTCTCACCGCTAAACCTATTCCTTAACCTAGGTCATGTGATGTTAAAAAATTCATCGAAATCCTGATGTATAACATGTGGCAAGTTGAATGAGATCTCAGACACGAAAAATGCAAAATCAGAAGGGATCCACCACGTAGAAGAATGGTGAACATAAAGGTCCTACGTGGAATGCATATCTACATTTTTTTTCCACAAATAGGATGGTATGCTATGTTTTACTTTGTAAATTACTCTTTTATTTTTTATATTTATTTTTTGACAGGCAGAGTTAGACAGTAAAAGAGAAAGACAGAGAGAAAGGTCTTCCTTCCGTTGGTTCACCCCCGAAATGGCTGCTACGGCCGGCGTGCTGCGCCGATCCAAAGCCAGGAGCCAGGTGCTTCCTCCTGGTCTCCCATGTGGGTGCAGAGCCCAAGCACTTGGGCCATCCTCCACTGCACTCCTGGGCCACAGCAGAGAGCTGGACTGGAAGAGGAGCAACGGGGACAGAATCCAGCGCCCCAACAGGGACTAGAACCCAAGGTGCTGGTACCACAGGCAGAGGATTAGCCTAGTGAGCTGCGGCGCCGGCCCTGTAAATTACTCTTTTACTATTTGATGTTGCCATGATTTTTCCCTGTCAAGAATAGAGGTATCACATAATTTTTATGTTACATATCTATTCTTTGAAAATCAAATTCTGACTCAACCATTCTCATTTTTTTTAACATCAAACTACTTAACGTTTATGAAAATTCCTAATATAGCACCTAAAAACAATCAAATTTTGTGTATCTTTCTTTCCCCAAGATACTTTAAAACTGTGAGTTATTTATTGCTTATAAAACAGGATGGGGGCAGGTGTGTAGCCCAGCAGGATGCCCATGACTAGGTTCGATGTCAATCCCTGACTCCAGTTTCCTGCTAATACAGATCCTGGGATGGAAAGATGATGGTCAAGCAACTGAGTTCTTGTACCCATGTGGAAGACCTGGATTGAGTTTCTGGTTCTTAGGTTCAGCCTGGTTGAGTGCTGGCCTCTGAAGACATTTAGGGAGTGAACCAGTGGATGGGAGTGCTCTCTCACCCATATATATATATAAATTGCTTTTTAAAGTATATAAAAAATAAAGATGTAGATTTCTCCTAATATTTTTCAAAAAAATCACTGAAATAAGTGGTTTTTCCTAATTATGAAAAAATCTATACTTTAAAAAGATAGAAATCATGGCAATGTTATCATTTCTGGTTATGTATATTTGTTATTTTTATATATGGCCTCACCCAATAAGAGCTGGCATAAAATTTAACAAGAAAAGAAAGAAAAAAATGAAACTTACTGTTGGGATGAGTTTTAAGTAACTAATATTGCTTTTAATAAAATACCTTAAAACACAAAGTTCAAAGAATATTTCCAAAGAAATTTCTTGGAAAGAAATTTATGCAAACAATATGTCTATTTAAATGCAGTATTCTATATATGTATATAAATATTCACTATATTCTGAGAAAATAAACAAACACTCACCAGGAGATAACATAAATATAGGGACTGCTTAGTAGATAGTGTGATGGAAGTAGAGAGTAATGTTGAATAATTGCAGTTGGGTTTTAGGCAGTTATTACTTCCTTTTTCTTTTTTTTACCTTTTCTAGTTCTTCTTCCACTGCTTTTTTTCCCTTAATGACTCGTTCGATTTGGCTTTGTTTTTCAGCACACTCCTATAAATGCAAGTCATATTGTAAATAGATATATTTGGAAAACTGTTAGAAAAATAAGTGAAAAAGTGGAGAAGGTAAAACAATTTGTTCATAAGAGGATCATCACATTTACCTTATCAACACAATATAGTCATAGGGATGAAAAATAAAACAAAACAATATCTAAAGATCTACCTCTCCTAGGATTTCAAAATTGCCTCCAGAGATAAGATGTCAAGGAGTTCTAATTAATCAAACTAGATCTGAGACAGAAGTTGGGGGATTCCACTGAGAAAAAAGTAGACAAAGAAAATTCCTTTTTCATTCCACATAGTGTTCAGTACTGAGGGATAATCTGTGGCCTACAATCAGTGCATATATGAAGAAGCTTGGGAAGAATGGAACTAAAATCTAAGTTTATTATGGTACTCAAAAATTGAAATTCATGCATAATTTTTTCTTAACATGTATTTTACATTAACTTTTTGAAGATCCTTCATATAAATTCTAAAACAGTTAATTTTTTCTTTATAAAACTCAGTTTATGAAAATGCCAAAAAGTGTAATGTTTTGCTCAAAAGGTTTTAAATCAGTAATTTTATCAAGCATACTTGACAATGGAGGCAATAAAGGAAGGCACACAAGACTCTTCTATTGAGGTGCTTATTCTTCTATTGAGGTGTGAATATAAATTTTTCATGGAGAGACAGTAAGTATACTCAATATATTTATTATAAGACAATTCATTGCTAAATTTACAGTAAAGATTGGAAGGGATATAAGGATTCAGATTAGAGTTTGTGAAATTGTGAATATCTTCCCAACTCCTGGAAATTCTTGTTCTTATAATCTCCTGTAAGTAACATTATAAAATTTTATCAAATTTTCAAGTTTAATTTTTAGTACTAGTCCCACCTCCAGTATTCTATTTTTATAGACTGAATATTTATTCACAAAAGTGGAACCAGGTCATTTACATAATCTCATTGATAGTAATGGGATACCAAAAAATGCAGAATGTATGGTAAAGGCAGAAGAGTATTTCCTTCCTTCTTTTCATATACTAGTGGTAGATATCAAATGGTGTATTGTTTCTTCTTTTACAAGCGGTTATCAGTTGAAGTTCTTAGTATGACAAGAGCAATGCCTTCAAATGAGGTCCATATACTTTGTGAAAGTATTTTGCTGGAAATCACATCTGACACATCAGAGAACTCACGTGGGGAAAAATATAAATATTAGGAATGTGAAAAATTCTTTTTTCATAAATCAATCCTCATTACACATCAGAAAAACAATGTTCCATTTTAGAACTAAAATTACCTTACATCTTGCCTTCCCATTTAATGGATGTATGATCTTGGACAAATAATTTGCATCTGTTCCTCATCAACAGAGTGCATTTGTATGGAGTATAAAAATATATGATTACTATTCCGAGATAACTGAATAAGATGACACATTAACTCCTGCTGCTCTGGGATATGAAAAGAACAAGAAAGGACATTTCCATGGGTTTGACTGATGGAAATTTTCAGTGAAGAAGTGAAAAAAAAAAATCATGAAACCTCCATGGGCACAATAGGAAGAATCACCACATTCCTAAAGTTGTAACTATGAAGTGTATGAAGTTTGTAACTGTAAAACTGTATCATTCTGCATACATTCCTACAGACTTACTTTTAAGGTTAGTTTAAAAACTTGCCATGGAACCCCAATCCCCCTTAAGCTGGGTGGTAAAGTGTTAAAGTGATAATATGGATAGGATTAAGTGTTAAAGTGACCATATAAAAAGGATTAAGTGTCTGGTAATAATAATAATAGAATTAAAAAGGAGTGAATGATCCAACAGGGGAAGCAGTTCATACAGCAGACTCATAGAATGACAATCACTTTAAGTATCACTCTGACCTCAGAATCAGCCCTTATGGCATCTTGTCTGGCTGAAAAGTCCACAAGAGCATTTCAGGCATGGGAAGCCAAGATACTGTGGCAAAAAATGTCTTACATGAAGGAACTCTGTGAGTGATACCCCAGCAGAAAGAAGTGGCCATCAAAGAAAGAGATACTTTTCTCTGAAGGGAGGAGAGAATTTCCACTTTGCTTAAGGCCTTGTATAAATACTGAAGGAGTTTTGGATTCAAAAGGCTTCACAGCCTAGGCAGCTGATGTCAAGAGCCTCAGGTAATCACTGATGTCATAAAGAAGAGTGTTAACTGTTAAATTAACAAGAGGAGTCACTGTGTACTAGCTTTCCATGCAGTATCTCTGTCTTCAAAGAGTTGTATTATGAGAGTTAACAGTAAAATTTGTTCTCAAAGATTTATTTTGTTTTAGTGTATTAAGTGGAGGATATTCTTAGGTCTCATAGGTTTTAGCTATGTCTAAGTGTCCAACTCCACTGCTTGGTTTTTGAGGTTCTCAAGGGCTTACTTTCTTTTAATGCATTAAATGGAGGATATTCTTAGGTCTCATAAGTTATAGTTAAGTCTAAATGCTCACAAAAGATGTATCATTCTTGGGTGCTTCTTTAAAGTTAATTAAGTTTCTCAAAAAAAAAAAAAAAAAAAAGAAGTGAAATTAACTTTGAGATGCAATGAGTTTGAACTGCCCCTGTCTTGACTGTTGAAGAAGATTTGTGTGTGTGTGTGTGGGGGGGAATTGTTGAACTCTTTACTTAATACAGAGTTGGTATTTTGTGTATAAAGTTAATTGAAAATGGATCTTAGTGGAGACTGGGAATGGGAGACGGAGGAGGAGGAAGGGTGTGAGGGTGGGCATGGTGGGAAGAATCACTAAATTTGTAAAGTTGTACTTATGAAATGCATGAAGTTTATATTCCTTAAATAAAAGGGTTCTTTGGAGAAAAAAAAAAGACTCCATGGGATAAGAGGAGAGAAGACAGACAATGCTGTAGCCACCTTTTGCCTACTCATCCTGTAGTACTCATATCTTTTAGGAAGTGTTCCTTTCTTCCTGCCCATGTCATACGTACTTCCTCTTTCTCCATGATATCCTAGATGAACCCAACATATGCTAGGAGCTGCAGCTGTGGTTTTTAATAGGACCCAGTTGTGTTCTCTGTCAAAGACAAATGCTTATGTAAAAAGTGATAAATGCCACCTATTTTTCCTACTAGACCAAAAGCCACATGACTGAAGAAAATGTGTCAAGATTATCTTGATTTTTACTTTTTCCCACCACATAGCTTAGATCCTGGCTTAATAAGTATCTTTTGCATTAATTTGGAAGAAAATATCAATACAGTCTTCTAACATACCATTTGAAGAGCTGAAATTTCTTCTGTTAACCGAGAAATCTGTACATTATATTGCTTTTTTGTGTTTGTAACCTGTAAATTAAGATAATTACGAATTATTTAGGTCTAGAATAAAAATGACTAATATGTGATAAAAATATTTAGTATAATTTTGATAAAAATTAGAGCATAAAACATAAACATACATGTACTAATAAAGAGCCAAGAATTTATCATGAGAGTAGAATAGGATGATTTATCTGAAAAGAGAGAAGTTGACAAACTTTTTGGTTTTAAAATTATATTATACTAAAAATGAAGAGGTTTTGCTTATTATATTTTTCATCAATATTTTACCATATTAGAAAAATAGGAACATAAAACAAGTACTTATTCATCCTTTAAAAGCAATAATCAAAATTATTACCTGCTAATGCAAAAACAATTTAATAAAAAATATGTATAATTTCTAAAAGAAGAAATCTTTGAGAAGGCTGGCATTATTTTGTTCTTACAAATCTTCTTAATGTCTAACTAATTAGAGGATAGCTAGATTCTTGTATCTGCTTTGATATTCAACCTGTTGTACTGTCACATCATGCTGCCTCTGGAAAGCAACACTGCACACTTGTGAGAGAGAAAAGAAGTGGAAAAAAAAAACAAAACAGCATCTTATTGTAATTATGAAAGTAGGTGTGACCTTCCAGACTCTGAACAACATTTTGAGAACTGCTGCCAGAAACCAGTCAAGAGAAAACCAGAATCACACACTGAAAACATAATTAGTAAGTTTTAAAGTACCTTTGTTTTACAAATAAGAGGATTTTCATAATGCACATCATATCCCACTGCTAAGTGGATTACTTTTAAAACACTCTCATTGAATAGACATTGAAATATCTTTAGAAGCAGTACAATTTATGTGTACAGGGGATATAGAAGAATTAGTCATAACATCAGGTTAGCTCAAATGATTTTTTTTCTAGTAACTATTCATACTTTTTCAAAGGACTGTGAGGAATAATACTGATGCCAATGATATGTCATTAGTAAACTTCTATGATTGAAAGCTTTTTGGGAATTTTCTAGTTTCTTATAAATGGACTATTTCCAAAACATGATGCATAATCTTTTTTAGGTATATGCATTACATGATGTATAATCTTATTCAGCTATATGCTTTACTTAGTTAACTAATGAGTTATGTTTTTGAAGATAACTGCCAAACACATATAAAGATCTATTTTAACACTATTATAAGTTATAATTTTATATAAGCTTTGCCTAAGAATAACTGTATTAATAGTCAATTTGCCTTATTTATGGGTCAGTAATCATAATAGATAACATTTATTTATTTTTATTTTTTAAAGCCATATCTATTTTTAAGTCAGAGTTACAGAGAGAGAGGGAGAGACAGAGAAAGAGAATTCTTCAATCTGCTGGTTCATTCTACAAGTGGCTGCAATGGCCACAGCTGAGCCAGAAAGACATGAGCCAGGACCCAGGCAATTCATCCGGTCTCCCATGTGTGTGGCAGGGCCCCAAGAATTTGCACCATCTTACACTGCTTTTACCAGGCCATCAACAGGCAGCTGGCTTGGAAGCGGAACAGCTGGGACATGAACTGGCATCCTCTTGGGATCCTGGCATTACAGATGAGGAAGACTGAGTGCAGAATAACGAACCTATGAATGATTCTGCAATATAAAAATTTTGTCTTTTTTCAGGCTAGTCATGTCTGCCTATCACATCATTTCAGAAAAGCATTCTTTTTAGTACCTAGAAATGATACATCTGACTTCAGTGTTTATGACAATAGTCAGATATATGGAAATATCTAAGAATAATGCTAGAAAATCCAGGTGAATTAAACTAGTCATGCTTTTAAACTATTCGGTGTTTTAAAATGACTGTAGAGGGGCTGTGCTGTGGTGTAGTGGGTAAAGCCACTGCCTGCAGTGCTGGCATCCCATATGGGTGCTGGTTCAAGTCCTGGCTGCTCCACTTGTGATCCAGCTCTCTGCTATGGCCTGGGAAAGCAGTGGAAGATGGCTTAAGTTCTTGGGCCCCTGCACCACATGGGAGACCGAGAAGAAGGTCCTGGCTCCTGGCTTCGGATCAGCACAGCTCCAGCCATTGTGGCCATCTGGGGAGTGAACCAGTGGATGGAAGACTTCTCTCTCTCTCTCTCTCTCTCTCTCTCTCTCTCTCTCTCTCTCTCTCCTTCTCTCTGTGTAACTATTGTGGGGAGCAACTCGGACTATACTGTTACTGGAATTAAGACTTATTCTATGCATCTGCTCTCCCACTGTGGGGAGCAACTCGGACTATATTGTTACTGGAATTAAGACTTATTCTATGCATCTGCTCTCCCACAATATGGCGCTGGGAGAGAAGAAAGAGGCTTCTACACAGCTGCCTCCAGTTCAACCAAGAAACTGTAGGACCTGCTCCTGATTGGAGGAGAGCAGCGTACTCGGCGTGTGGGTAGCAGAGTTGGGATTGGTGGAAGAGGACTATAAAGGAGGAGAGAGACGGCATGCACGAGGAACATCTAAGAGGAACATCTAAGGGAACATCTAAGGGGAACACCTGTGCAGCCCCCGAGAAGAGCCGGCCGGCGGTGTGCCGCTCCCCTGCGGAAGTGGGGAATGTGGCCAGGGGGAACTGCCCTTCCACGGAGGTGGAAGGGATAGTAGCCAACCCGGGAAGAACCAGCAGCAAACCCGGGGAGGGCCGAGCAGACGAAAGAACAGCGCAGGGTCCTGTGTTGCTCCTCCACGAAGAGGGGGAGCGACATAATGGTGCCGTGACTCGGATATGAAGCCTAGGCAGGGTTTAGTGTCGTTCCTCCATGAAGAGGGGGAGCGACATAATGGTGCCGTGACTCGGATAGGAAACTTAGGAGGGAAGAAACGGGAAGAAGCAGGAAAATACCGGAGAGAGAGACTAGCGAAGAGCCTAGGGGAAAGCCGGACGAGAAAGGTGCCGGAAGAAGCTATTGAAAGCCTAGGCATAGACTGGATATGGACTGTGGGAAAGAAGTTAGGATTTGAAAGCGAAAGTGAAAGCTTTCATAGACTCTTTCACTCCAATCTCACTTTCTATTTACATTTTTCTATAATTTTAAGAATGGTGGGGATATTTATAAACAGAAATGAAAATGAGTAAGAAATAGGAGAAAAGACCAATGTTGACACTAGCTATGGTTTAAAATAAAAATCAACTTTTTCCATGAAATCTGAGAAATAAACTATTCTCAAATTTTAAAGAAATAAGCTATTGTCATATTTTTGTTTAATTTTTCAGCTGGGAGAGATATATGTGATATTTTGTCCACTGTCTTTCTCAGTAAATAAAAATATATACCTGTGAAGTTATCCTCAGTTCAACAGGTTAATTCTACACAGTTGGAGGACATGTCATCGAATTGTAATACAAAGGGAAACTTTTGTCAGTGCAGATTAAAAATTTTAAACAAAAAAATTTTCAAATATATTTTTATTAAAATTTTTAACATGATATAAAATTTGTATAATACCACATGATATATATATATATATAATTGCTACAAAATATACATTGTGTAGTGATCAATTGAGGGCAAATATATCTTTCTCCTCAAACATTTAACACTTTAAAATATAAATGAATATAATAATACATGTTTTATAAGATATAATATATAAACAAATATTTATATAGCATGTCTTTTGATAAAAATAATACCTATCCTTCCTAAACATTGTAGAAATATATAGTGTAGAAAATAAAGATTCCTGGGGCTGGTGCTGTGGCACAGTGGGTAAAGGCTGCCGCCTGCAGTGTTGGTATCCCTTATGGGTGCCAGTTTGAGTCCTGGCTGCTCTACTTCTGATCCAGTTCCTTGCTAGTGCTTCTAGCAAATCAATGAAAGATGACCCAAATGCTTAGGCCCCTGTACCCACATGAGAGACCCAGAAGAAGCTCCAGGCTCCTGGCTTCAGATCAGTCCAGCTTAGCCAGTGGAGGAGTATACAGTATATTCAGTATCCTAAAGGAGCACATTTCAAAGGAAAGGGATATTCATTTTTAACCGGTTATGTTAATTTCATTTATAGTCCTTATATGTAGGCAAATTTTCAGGATTACATTTAAGTATTTAGGTAGCATTTAGTTTTAATTTGGGATATTAAATTTTGAGTTCTAAATAAAAAAAAAAAACCCTTACTTCTTTACTGGTTCTCAGGGCAGCATCTTGCAGAAGTCGTGAAATTGTTCCTTTCATTTTCTCTATATCTTCTTCTTTTTGCTTCTCTTCAAGCAGAGCCTTTAGAAAATAATCATTTCATGTTATAGATCACATCACCATTATTGAAGAGGATAAATGGTAAAAACCTATCCATTAATCATTTTCTTTAGAGTAACATTTTATTCCACTTGAATATCTTGCTTAAGAACATTTATTTTTCCTAACTTCTTCACCTGCCAGTGTCCTAAATAAAAGTTTGTTATTTTTCTTTGGTATCTATTTTAGCTGTTTTTCACCATTACTCCAATAATCTCTATGGCCTGAAATCCTAGACAGATTTTTGATTTTTTTTCCCCTCCTTCAAGTCCTTATAAAAAGTCAGTCTTCAAATGTAGGTATTGTATCTTTGGAAAAATTTTTTGGATTTCCCCTTTTCCATTGTTTGATATTATACAAGTTATACCTCATTACCTCACATCACCTCAGACCTTGATCACTGCAGATACCACCTATTTTCTCTCTTAGACCAAAACTCCTCTGAAATTTACTCATCTCCAACACTTTACCTCCCATTCTCTCTTAACCCCCCAACCAGGCTAAAACCACCATGATCTCTAAACTGATTACCTGTGAGTCAATTTTCAGTCCTCATCTTACTTATGAGCAACACTTGAGATAACTGATTACTTTCTTCTCCTTGCTTTACTTTCTTTGGCTTTCAGCAAATCACAGTTACCTGTTTTTCCTCTTACTTTACTGATCATTACTTTTTCAGTCTGGACTGCTGATTCTTCCACTTCTGAACCTGCTAATGTTGTACCACCCAAGGCTTAGTTCTTGGTCCTGTTCTCTATCTGTGTTCATCCCTTAGTGGTGCTGACAGATATCATGGTTTGAAATATCATTTACATGTTGAGAATTCCAAAATTTACATCTCTAGCCTGAACATCTTTCTTAGTTTAGTACTCTTTCAGTTAGGCCAAATTGAATCTTTTTTTCATCAATAGATAGCAAGGGTCCTGGATTCTGTTTTCACCATATCTTCTAAAGACAGCAGTTGTACTTTTACCTATTTTTTAAAAATTAAATTTTTTGCACATTAACTGAGTAAGCTAGTGAGAAATTATAGCTGTTTTGATGTAACAGTTTTGAGGGGGACAATGAATAATGAGGAAACATTCCTGCTTTTTTGTATTACTGACAGAGAGAACCCTTGACTTTGAACAAGCAACTGAAAGATGGGAACCCCCTTGCAATTAAGCCATGAGCCAGGAGGGAGCTTACTATTAGTCATAGACATCCTCCATGAAGGTCTGTTGACTAAAATGTGAGTGAGAGCTTCTTGGGGAATAGGCAACTAGCATCCCTACTACTGTCTCTGTTACTGTGCCCTACACAAGATGTTCATTTTTATTGATCTGACAGTAACAGTGCTTGTACAACTGAGCCTTAGAAAGTGGAAATAATTCTGTCCTGGCTTTAATTTTTCTAACTTACAAATTCAGAACAATTCTCAAGCAAAATGTGCCTTTTAGCTATCCTAAAGAGTACTGAGATCACAGATGGAAATATACACTGTAAGCTAGGGTGTTTTAGCATTCTGATGGTTTGGTTTTATATAACTATTTTTATGTCTTATTAGCCTCTTAATATCCAATGTATAGCTTGTTCTGTCTCTTGTTGGTCTCATGCAAAATCTTCTATGGTGTGAAAAAGGAAACATAAATAAAACAAAGCATTCCCATCCTCCCTCCCATATATCCTGGCAGAGTATTCTGTATATACTAAGTGTTCAATAAATGTTGGTAAATAGATTAATGATTTAATGAGATCTACATAAGAGAAGCAGCAATAGTAAAAACAAATCTATCTACTTTGTGACTTCCATAAACTATAACCTATTCACATGGAAGCGGTATAAGACAAAAAACATGATGATGTATCATAAGTGTTAAACAAAGAACAGTGACATGAAGACTCCAGCCAAAAAATGTTTAAAGATAAATTTAATTATGTCAATTAAACATCTGCTCTATTAGTGTAATTGTGTAGGTGATAAATGGGAATTATGGATGAATAAGATTCATCTTATTCAACTAAATAAAATATTGGTATGTAGCAGTTAACTACTATAACAGATTTTTAAAAACTATGACTATAGGGGATGACAATCAGTTACACAGGGATTGGGAAAATAAAAATAGTTTGATATTTATATACTAGTTTTGGGAGAAGATTGATATTTTACCATATATTATGATATTAAGCCTTGCTTTCAAGAATATAGTATGTCAACTAGTAGTGGTGAGCATAGCCATCTCATTTTCATGCACTTATTCTGCAGTAACTCATTTCCTTATTTGTATGTCATATGGGGAATAATACTGGGCATTTTATTATAAACATGTTTACTAATTTTTGTACCTGACTTTTTTGAAGGTTAGCTTCTTCTAAGAGTTGCATGCTATTTCTGGCTCTTATAATAGCTTCATAGTTCTCATTTTCTAGTTGATTGCACTTTGCTTGTAGCTCTCTGTTCTGTTTTTCCAGATGTGTTTTTTCTGCTCTTAACTGGTTGGCTTCTTCAATTGACACACATAATCTAGAAATTAATAATCACATGGTGAAATAAACATTTTTAAGAAGAAGGAGGTAGATAAGAGATTTACTGAGCATTTAATACATGACAGATATTATGCCAGTAACTTTCACATATACATGTTTTCTCATTTGATTCTCACTGCAGTTCTGTAAAGCAGGTTTTATCATCTTCATTTTAAAGAATAACAAATATACTCAGAGATGCTAGACATTTCATAAAGGATGTGCGCTAATTAGCAGTGGGGTTGAAACATCCTGGATATTCTGACTCAACATCTGGTATGGTCTCACTCTGTGTTATATAGTTACATGACAATGTTATAAAGCTAATTCTGAAAGAATGAGCTTTTTCTCACGTGGTCTCTTTTTCCTCTTTTAAAAAACTTTTACTTATTTTTCTTTATTTGAAAGGGGGAGAGAGCACGAACGTGAGAGCAAATCTCCCACCTGCTGGTAAATGTCTGCAACAGCTGGACTGGGTCAGATCAAAGCCAACAGCCAAGAACTCAATCTGAGTCTCCTAGGTGGGCCCGACTAATTGAAGTACCCATATATTTAGCTGCCAAGTTATTTACTATGTTTAATGTTTAGGTTTACTAATATTGTATGGTTTCCATAAGACGCCCCTTTTTTCCTTTTTGTCTTTTTTCACATAAGATGGGTACTGTGTTGACATTGTAACAAGGTTTACAGGGAGGCACATCTCACACAGACATGTAAAACCAATCATCATGCTTATGAACCACAAAAAGAATTGCCATTTTTCATTATCTAAGTTTTTTCTTTATTCTGTTCATGGCTTTTACATTAAATTTCACCTCGATGGATACTTATACTGTCACTGTTGCTTTCTTTTGTTTATGGTTGCTGATATTTCTCCACTAATATTTTTATTTTAAATTTAAAATAAATCATCTATATTTTTTCTTTTTGGAGATCTTTGCTCTAGTTCATTTAGTCTGTGTTTTAGGTGTTTTTCTAAAATACCATATGATTGGGCCTTACATTTTTGAACAAAATCTGTAAGTTTCTGCCTTATAATGGAATTTAATCCTCTCATATTTTAATGTAAAGATTCATATGCATGACATTATCCACATCACCTTAATTTGGTAAAAGCCTTTGTGGTGGAAAATGAAGCATTCTCTGCCTTCTTTACTGAGGCACCAGGAGGAAGCATCCCTAATCCTAGGACTTCTTACACTTTATTTAGCATCAGTTCACCCTTTCCACTTCACCATGACCTCTAGGGAGCCAGCACAGCAGGTGGACTAATGAAGTACATATGTTAGTTTCATCTCCCAAGAACCCATGGGTTTCAGTGGAGAAGCTTTCCTTAGGATTCTATGAATTCCAATCCTCAGTCAAGGTTTCCCTTCACACACACTACATATTAGAAAAAGCCCCTCTCAGTTCAGCAGCCTCATCAGTCATTTATTTGGCTCTGAGAAGGTAGAGTGGTGCTCGAAGTATTGGCAAAGAATAGTCAGCTCATCAGCTTCATAATTTATAGATGTGCACTATTTTGTAACACAAAAGATGTATTACTGCTATTCTTATTCTCATAAAGGTACTTCTATATGCTCTACAGTCACATTTTAGAGGATTACTTTCTGTCAACTTGCTGAAATTGAGCCACGTTTCCTCTTCACATAAATAACAGCAGGATAATAACAAACACTTGTATAGAACTTTCTTTGTGCCAGATAATCCTCATGTTTTCAACAATGCAATGGAGTAGTTTATAGATGGGGAAACTAAAGCACAGAAAGGCTAAGCTTAAGGTTATATATCTAGGTTACTGGAAAACCAGAATTTGAATTTAGTCGGCCAGCATTCAGTGTTGATATTAATATGGTATACTGCCAAAAAGACTTCCTTTTAAATGACAGATTCATCCCACATATCTATAACTGTACAGAAAGAGGCTGTCATTCTAAGTAGAGCTGAGAGGGAAAAGACATACTAAAACCTGGGGGATTCAGTAAGTTTTCATATTAAATATTACTACTCATAGACTCTTTCTTGAGTTTCTAAAGTGCACTCAGAAGACTTTTGAACTTCCAATTCCTTCCAAGGCAGAAGAATGATAATCCTACTCTGGAGAAACTGACCCAAGAGAAAGTACCCTCAGATTGGAATATTCAGGGATTTCCGAAGGAAAGTTAACCCAATGCCTCAATCTGATACTATACGCCTGCCACACTGCAGGCTCAGCTATGTTCACCTAGCTTCCCATCAGCTTCTTGGTATCTTATTCCAAAAAGCAATCAATAACAGATTCCTTATGCAAAACACAGCTTCCATCAGGAAGGAAAGAAGTGGCAATGAGGAAATTTTAAGACTATGGTAAATTTAAGTTTGGGTATGATAGTTGCTTAAGTCCTAGGGAACAGCCTATCTTGGAGCAGAGGACACCAAGAAAAATAAATGTCTCTAAGACAAAGATGGAATTTCAATGGTCTGATGCAGGGAACCAAATTGAAAGGCATTTTAGAGCTCTCATGGAACACTTAGCATTGAACTAATATTATATACACAGAAAAGTTGTTATGTGAAGAGATGAGATAATTATCAACAAGAAACTCATTTTTCATTACAATCTTTATGGTTTTATATGACTTTTAAACAATGTATATAAGCTTCCTTTGATAAAAAATAAAAATGAATAGAGCAGCTGGCGTGGTGGCGCAGTGGGTTAATGCCCTGGCCTGAAGCACAGGCATCCCATAAGGTTGCTGGTTCTAGTCCCAGCTGCTCCACTTCTGATCCAGCTCTCTGCTATGGCCTGGGAAAGCAGTAGAAGATGGCCCAAGTCCTTGGGCCCCTGCACCCATATGGGAGACCCAGAAGAAACTCCTGGCTCCTGGCTTTGGATCAGCTCAGCTCCTACTATTACGGCCCTCTGGGGAGTGAACCAGGGATGGAAGACTTCTCTCTCTGTCTCTACCTCTCTCTGTAACTCTATCTTTCAAATAAATAAAAAATAAATTAAAAAATGAATAGAGCCAATTTATGGCTAATTGACATATATACAAAAATGATGAAGAAAAGGGGGGGAAGGAGGGGGATTGGAGGGAGTGAGAGAATTAGAATGCTATATAAGGCCTGTGAAATTATTTGGTCTGGCAGGGCAAGCAGAGGTCGAACTTGAAATTCAATAAATCCATATAACAAGATAATTTTTAATTTTGAAGGCCTATGAACGAACATCCAAATGGCCCTTTGTGGGGGAGGCTGAATCTGGAAAGGCCTAGAGGAACTTCCAGAGCCTTAAAGACTTGTCTTTAAGATTCAAAGACTTGTCTTTAAGATTCAATCCCATCAAGGTGGCATGTACCAATGCCATCTCACTAGTCCAAGTGATCAATTTCAGTTCACAATTGATCATAATGAAAGGACTAAGAGTCAAAGGGAGCACATAAACAAGTCTAGTACCTGCTAACACTAACCGATGGAATAAATAAAGGGGAGAGTGATCCAACATGGGAAGTGAGATACTCAGCAGACTCATAGAATGGCAGATGTCCTAAATAGCACTCTGGCCTCAGAATCAGCCCTAAAGGCATTCGGATCTGGCTGAAAAGCCCATGAGAGTATTTCAGGCATGGAAAGCCAAGACACTCTGGCAAAAGATCTCTGTGAGTGAGATCCCAGTGGAAAGAACAGGTCTTCAAAGAAGGAGGTACCTTTCTCTGAAGGGAGGAGAGAACCTCCACTTTGACTATGACCTTGTCTAAACAAGATAAGAATCAGAGAACTCAGAAGGCTTCCATAGCCTTGGAAACTCATGACTGGAGCATAGGGAGATTACTGATGCCATAGACAGGAGTGTCAATTGGTAAAGTCAACAACAGGAGTCACTGTGCACTTACTCCTCATGTAGGATCTCTGTCCTTAATGTGCTGTGTATTGAGATTTAATGCTATAACGAGTACTCAAACAATATATTTCACTTTGTGTTTCTATGGGGGTGCAAACTGTTGAAATCTTTACTTAATGTATACTAAACTGATCCTCTGTAAAAAAAAAAAAAAAAAAAAAAATCAACTCCCAACTTGACTCTCACTGGGATTAAACATGACAATAGGTCTGATCTGATTTCATCATCATTTAAAAAAAATCATCTATTATTTTTCACTTTATGTTTCTGTGTGAGAGCAAACTGTTGAAACCCTTACTTAATGTATACTAAGCTGATCTTCTGTATATTAAGATAATCGAAAATGAATCTTGATGTGAATGGAGGGGAGAGGGAGTGGGAAAGGGGAGGGTAGTGGGTGGGAGGGACGGTATGTGGGGGAGGCCATTGTAATCCATAAATCGTACTTTGGAAATTTATATTCATTAAATAAAAGTTAAAAAAAAATTTAAAAAGTAAAAAAAAAAAAAAAGATTCAAATCCCTGGTGGTAAACGACCCAGCCCCAGGGCACTTTTGCCTAAAGATCATTAAGGTGGTATCATAGGAGTGGCTAAAACCCTTTTGCATCACATCACCCCACCCCTTGCCCCCATCCACTCTGTACAGTAGCTATATAAACACTTCCCTTTTCAATAAATAAAGTGAGATCCTGCTTCGACTGGGCTCCCCACCGCCTCTGATTGTCCCCCAGGGTTTGGGGAAGCTGAGTGGCGGGTGGCGCACTTCCCCTCCTCAGCCAAGGCAAGCTCCGGGCAGCCTGCCTAATTCTCTGGCGGTGACAAGGAAGAGTCACCGCAGCCCTTGGCAGAAGAAAAGTTCCCCACCCCTGCTATAAGATGGCCCATGTACTTGGGCCTCTGTCATCCATGTGGGAGACCTGGATGGGGTGCCTGGTTCCTGGCTTCAGCCAGCCCAGCCATGGCCATTGTGGCCATTTGGGAGTTAACCAGTGGATGTAAGATCTCTTTCTGTCTCTACCCATCTCTGTTATTTTGCCTTTCAAATAAATACATCTTTAAAAAATAATAAAAACCCTTTTAAAAATCATTTTGCAATAATCGTAGAAAATGTTTAAAATGTAGTCTTTGTAACATTTCATTATACCAATCATCTCTTGTCTCTTTCATTAACATTATTGAAACAGCCAAAATATTTCAACTTTGTGAATAATTATAATTCATTAATCTTATAACTAGACTAGCTAGCTTACAAAAAACAATTGATTCTGTCAAATGCTAAATCTTATAAGAGTTTAAAATAAAAATTTTCTTGGAAGAGGCTATTTTTAGTCTGAAAGAAGGTGATGATTCAGGAAAGTAAAATAATAAACTTGACCCTGGGTCATTCTTACCTCATTTAATCCTAAAGAAACTACAACTAAGTAGGTTACTTCTCCAATACACAAAGATAGAAAACGTATTAAATCAAGAAATCAAAGCAATTCTGCTTTCCTTTAAATATCAAAATCTCTTACTCCAACAATTTATATCATTATTGCCAGACAGCATCACCTTTAAAATATCAAATCAATTTTTATAAAATATTAGTTTCAGCATGTGGTCCTTCTGTAATTAAACCACATGATATTCAAATTCAAATTCAAATTCAAATTCATTTTACTTCCAAGACCTTATATCCTCTATTTAACCATAGTTTTTCACTAATTTCTGGTGTACAACCTTTTATTAAAATCAGGACTATATTTTTGCATCTTTATTTTAAAAATTCATGTATCCTATTATGCACAGGAGTAGGGATGGCAATCAAAATGTGAAACAATGGTAAGAATGAAAATCACTTTTTATCAGTCACCTAAATGAAGATTTCCTG